TTGCGCCACTGGGTACCATGATGTGGCACCACCGTGGCACAGGTGGAGCGGCAACTCCAATCCGCGACGCTCAGCTGTGCGGAGTCCGGGAGCCCAGCATGCCTTAGATGATCTAAAGACATGTATGTACATATGTATGTTTATATATATATATACATATTTACATATATATGCAGTATGTACATGAAATTATTGGAAATGTCTGACTTAAGGGATAGTTACAGGATGTTACAGCGTTGGTATATCTTATAATATTCACTACATTTGAACGACAGAAATTACCAGGTACAAATTCGTAGGGGCCAAGCGACCAATCCTGTCAGCATTGGTATCAAGGTTTTGTGCCGTGGCGCAGCCCAACCGCGCCATTTTCGAGTCTGTCGCTGAGTTTTTGGCAGAGATCCTTGCCTTGGCTTAATGTGGCCAATGAAACATTTTCTGGATGCATTTGCAGATCCTTGAAGAAAAACTATAGAAAACCCATGCTTTCCATCGAGGGTTGAAGCCAAATGAATCCCAAGGTCAGCAGTCCAACATGCAAAAGATGCAGCTGCCGGGATCCCCAAATCTGGCCGAAGGGCCAGGGCCCTTAGGGCCTCGGTCCACCCGGCGCCGCGGCCGAGGTCGTGCTCTCCAAGGGGCAAGAGGTGCAGTGGGAAGCAGGGTATCCAGACATATCCAGCGTTGCAGGGCCGCTTCCAACAGAACTGGGATAAGAAAAAGGGATGAAAACATCGAAACAAATGGATTTTCACCAACAAAATACCAGGGCCAAGGGCAACCCATACAGGAGACTGTTAAGTCAATCTGAGGCCAGGGGAATTGCTTACGTACGATCCGGTGCCTTCTGAAATGCGGTATTCTCATCCTCAGGGAAACAGACCCAGAAGCATCCAAAACAGGTCCATCACAGCAACGTCAGCCGCAAAATTTGGACTATACAAGATCTACATTATTTGTTGAGAAACCGGCCATAGATTGCTTCAAAAGCATCAAAATCCTCAGATCTGCCTTGTGGCAAAGCACAGCTCCCATGGCGATGATGATTAATCCAGTTCCCATATCGCCGCACAGATCCTTGGGCAGCTCTATGGGCGGAGTTGGTGAGGAACTGATTGAGATGGTCAGCCACATAGGTTTGTTTTCAATTGGGGTATGGTTTCCAAAATGGCACGTTTAATAGGGAAAATGATGATCAACTAGTGGAAAGAAAGAGGCAACCTATGTTCAGACACACCCAGAGAGCCCGTCGGCAAGATGCTCCATGGGATGCCCGTAGAAATGTCTAGTCCTGTCAAGCAACTGGAACAGTGGTGGCATTATCTCCTTATATGATCAAAGGATTCCGGCATCAATCAGAATAAGTACAGCCCAAAAATCTCCATCAGAAATCAGAAATCCATCCTATCATTCCTAAGAAAAACCCTTGGAAGTGTAACACTTTGGGTGCTTTGCTCAGGATATCAGGCGCAAGATTTGGAAGTCGCCTCCAATGGCCACCCAGCCGCATGGAGGGCGGCCACTCGCATACTTTTCTCATCCATTGAAAAATATGGATTTCAGTGATGTCAGTTGTTCAACAAACATCAGGCCATGCTACATGAACTGCAGGAGATCACGACAGCAGTGACAATGACGATTCTGAATCCTCGGAGACACCACCCCGCATGGACCGCGGCCTGGACAAGGCGCCCAACAAATTTTAAAGAAACTTGGAGATGTTCCAAGGCCGATAGCCCACAACTTGACCACACGGTTAATCCTTTGTTCAAGCCAGATCCCTGTGGTTGCGGGCCACCACCTTGAACCAAACCTCAGGAGGAAACAATGGCATACGTGCATCCGGACGACAGTGGCTTGCCCAAAGGTTAGCGCATGGCAGTCATTTGAAAAACAGCTGGACAAGTTCCTGTGCAGTCATGGTCCCAGTCAATCTGACGTTGGGGAAAATTCACATGACGATATTCGGTGCAAGAAGTTTTAGATTCCATAGATCAGGTTCCTATCTAGCAGTTTGTGTATCACTAGAGGCATCTAAAGCGTGCATTACGTAGACATATCGTGGAGTGATCAGCCAAGGTATGCATCAGCCACTCGGATCACAGATGGAAATTGTTGCAGACAGTTGGGTTGGCAGATCTTTGTTTGGAGCTGTCATGTCAACGTACATTATTATATATTATTATATATTATATTATTTATTGTATTTATATATATAATTATATATATAATATTACAATATAATATAATATAATATACTATAATATAATATAATGTAATATAATATAATATAATAGAATATAATAGAATAGAATATAATTTTTATTATTATTATTATTATATATATATTTATATGTATATATATATATTATATTATATATATATGTGTTAACATATATAGTACATATATATATACTATATTATATTATATATAATGATATAATATATATATGACACGTAATATTATATTTGTTTGTGTGTCTGTTTATCTATCTTTCTATCTATCTACCTATCTATCTATCCATCCATCCAATATGACGCATATGTATTGTACATTACTATGCAGGATGCAGATAATATGTGTTTAATTATAATATGCACTTTAGCCATTACCATATATTGTTTATTTATATATGTGTGTATCATACACACACACACACACACACACGGGCTTTATGTCCTGTATGTGATTGCATGCATCTCCCCAGCCTGCCTTGGAAGCACCAAGCGCTTGGCCACATGACTCGTCACATGAGGCATTGGTATGAGACAACGACCCGGCTTCGATGCGTTTTCTATGTGTGTCTGTGCTGCAATGAGCGTTAACTGGATTCCTGGGAGGAGGCGATAATGATCGATAATGGGTGTACAACCCAGGTGGATACTGAATAGGAGGTGGGCTGACATGTACTGACACACACACTAGACAAGAATGGATCTATGAATAGACCCGTCAGGAACTGAATCCTGTAACATGCAATTAGATTAGTTAGTTTTATATATATATAGATGGGACTATGGTGGCCACCAGCTGCGACTTATATGCGCCCAGGTGCGCCACCACAGTCCCGCAGGTACGTTTCCACGGGTCCCGGGGAGGTGTCTTCGTTGGTCACCGACCCCGCCGGGACCCCGGTGACCCCCTGCAATAAATTGTAGTATAATATAATATAATATAAATAGACGAATGGTACTGACAGCACCAGAAGTTTTACGTCTATTCAGACGTTACACACACACACACCCACGCACGCACGCACGCACGCACACACACACACGCACACACACACACACGCACACGCACACCCACGCACACGCACACCCTGCCTCCGGCAGGGTGGTGCGCGTAAAAATGAGATGATGATGAGGATGAACGGGGAATGAAAATGAGATGAGAGTGAAGATGAGATGAAAGTTACTTAACCAGGACGCGAAGAGGGGAACGCAAAAGAAGAGGGAAGGAGCAACCACACACCAACACACCTAGCCCGGAGCGGGCGAACCCTGAAAAGGCAAGGGAAAAGAAAAAAGCGGAGGCCGACGGACACGGACCAAGACCAGCGGAGGGGGGGGAAGACGGAAGCGCCTGAACCAACCTGACAAAGCGAAAACCTACAAAAACCTCAGCACGCGACGGACCCGACCTACCTGAGGAGGAAAGAAAGCATGAAATAGGGGACCAATGGGGAACTAGTTGGTGAAAACACAGAAAAACTGAAAACAGGACTCAGCTCCTAAAAACAAGAGGTCGTGCGTTACTCCCCTCCGGGAACGTGGTCAGGTCGCGCCCGAAGGCATTGAACAGCTGTACGAGTTCCAACGAATTAGATGCACAATATGTTTGACCCCACCAGAAACCAAAGAGACCACACCTGCAGGAAAAGGACATGCCTGTTGCCTTCTGTCGCTCATGTCATGTTTCACCTCAAAAGCTGAAGCTGCAGAGAAAACGAGGTTTCTGATGGTTCCGACCGCTTTCACTCTGATAGAAAGGCAATTTGGCGAGGAACCCTGGGACATCCGGAGCAGCGGGACTTTGTGAAAAAGGTGCATAACGGTAAGGCCAGCTGTTGCAATTTACTTAGATGAATTGCTAATTCAAAAGTGTCAATTCTAAAATTAGGTCAGTCATCATTCACCCTAAAAAGGGTTGCCTCCAATGGCTCCATGGCACCATGGCGGAGCCACCATGGAAATCACACTAGACAAGATCTATGAATAGATCCGTCAGGAACTGAATCCTATAACATGCAATTAGATTAGTTAGTTTTATATATATATATAGATGGGACTATGGTGGCCACCAGCTGCGACTTATATGCGCCCAGGTGCGCCACCACAGTCCCGCAGGTACGTTTTCACGGGTCCCGGGGAGGTGTCTTCGTTGGTCACCGACCCCCCGGGACCCCGGTGACCCCCTGCAATAAATTGTAGTATAATATAATATAATATAAATAGACGAATGGTACTGACAGCACCAGAAGTTTTACGTCTATTCAGACGTTACACACACACACAGAGACATGTAGGAATGTAGCTGCTTTTTTACTAGCAGTACAAGAAGAGAATCCTGATGGCCCATGGTATTCCATGGTCTTATCCCGGGGGCCCAGGTTTTTCTCATTGGCCGTGATCGTGGCGATAGCAATGGGCGCCACCACGGAGATTTTCTTTTCACTCATGGCGACCCCACCAGATGCAGCCGCCTGGCCATGGGGTCACGGGAACCTACTTGGATGACTTGGATGAGTCTTGAAGACTTTTCACCTCAATGATACCGGATTCATCATGTTTGGATATATTTGGAAGGAGTCATGTTCTTTTCGAGCTGCTCGCCAACAGGTACAGCTATGATTTTAGATTCTGATAGATTCTGTATGGATCTGCCATCTGCCAGGTCTTTATGACATGTGACCCATGTCACCTCCCTAGAATAGCTCCCACGCCAAGGGCCTTTCTTTTGGAGCACCTTGGCAGCAAGTGAAAGGTACGGTGGATGTGGTACAACTAACTGGTGCTACTACACTTCTCAGTGCTGCTCAGCAGTCTGAGTCTGACCTTTGCTCACCAGCACCACCAAGTGGCCATGTAGCAGTCAGAGCCACTGCCTACAGGACTTGCTCTCACGCAAGACTTGGATGACAGATAGTTCCATTCGAGCATGTTCTGTCTCATTCAGGAAAGTCTCGTTTGTCTTGAGAAGTTGTGAAAGCAATCGCTCACAAATAGCTCCATTAGCTTTAACACTGACACCCAAATCAAGTGGTTTCGTCTTTGGGACAATCTATCTTAACAAACTATATCAATCTATCTCAATCTGAGATGCTGTTGTTGTTTTCGTTGTTGCCTTCAAAGCATAGATGCCTCATTGTCCTAGCATAGCATGCAGGTTGTCGTCGCCGTCGTGTCACTGAGCCCGCAATTGATTCTGCGACAGCTCATGTTTTGGCTTGAGAGGTTGCTCTCCCTGGAAAATCTGGAGAAGTATGGGTCAAAACATTGTGCACCCCAATATATAAATTAATTCATGATAGAACTAGACATTGTCATGAACTGGTTATATCGATCATTGAACATGAACATGATTTTGCAAGATCAAAAGCCGCAGGTTCCTCGGGTCTGGAAAAATCCTTTGAGGTCTGTGCCCCTCTTTCTTTTGGCCACCGCAGTGTATGTGGATGAATGCGTTGATGTTGGGTCTCTTGGCGAAGTGGCTGAGTGAACATGAGTTGACGGATTTTTTGAAAAGATACACGTTGATTCAATTAAGTTAAACACGTTCTTGGAAGAACCCAGAGGTGGATGTCAGTTTGAATGTAGAGAACTGTTATCAACCCATGGCCACATGTAGAGCAATCTACACTGGCAGCGCCATCGTAGGTTGGATGCTGCAGATAGACCATGCTTTGGCTTGTGGAGGACTCTGATCTTTGTTGGTGGATGGATTTACGCTTTTCCATCATTCATTTGGGAAGTGATTCATAACACGTTCCCCGGCCCAAATCTAATTGAATGCCGCAATGCCTTTCAGTTTTGAACACTATGACCATGATCTTCAGAGAGGCCAAAAGATACGGGATAAATGGGTATAAATGCATTGAGGTTGCAAAACCCGCGGAATTTGAAATTCAAAAAGCAGCCACTTGCAGCCACTTGCGGCCACTTGCAGCCACTCGGGTGGCCGCAAGTGGCCGCAAGTGGCCGCTAGGGCAAGTGGCCGCAAGTGGCCCGTCGCTCTACTGGTAGGATTTGAAATTTCCAGAGCAGCGTCGCTTGCAGCCATTTGCATTATTTGCAACCACTTGCAGCCACGCTGCAAGTGGCTGCAAGTGGCTGCACATGATGCAAGTGATGCTGCTTGGACGGCAAATACCAGCCCGAATGGCCCCACCCGTGAAAACTTGAAAAAAAAAGCTTTTCTCGCGAACTGCATTTTTTCAAGTTTTCTTTGAAACATGAGGTGAGAGTTGAAACGAAAGGAAAGAAATAACAAATAGGAAGGAAGAGTTTAAACGAAAGGATGGACGCAACGAAATGGACGAATTGAAAGGAAAGGAAGAGCTAAACGAGCAAGACAAAAGAGTTGATACGAAGGCACAGACGCAACAAATAGAAAGGAAGAGTTGAAACGGAAGGAAACACTGAACGATCAGGACATTATTAAGAGTTTATGCGAAAGAAAGGAAGTATCAAATGGAAGAGAAGAATTGAAACGAAAGAAAGACGTAGGCGCAGACGCAACGAATAGAAAGGAAGAGTTGAAACGAAAGGAAAAACGAAACGAACAGGACATAAGAGTTAATACGAAAGAAAGGAAGTAACACATGGAAGAGGAGACTTGAACTGAAAGAAAGGACGCAGCGAACGGAAAGGAAAAGTTGAGACGACACAGGAAGAATTAAATCAGAAGGAAGGATTGAGCAAACGGCAGGGAAGAGTTGAAACGAAAGCGAAGAAGAAACGAACGGGACATAAGACTTGAAACGAGCGGACGGAAGTAACGCATAGTAAGGAAAAGGTGAAACAAAAGGAAAGACGCAATGAACGGAAGCGAAGAGTTGAAACGACACGAAAAGTTGAAACGAATGGGAAGCAGTAACGAACGGAATATAAGACATGGAACGAAAGGACAGAAGCAACGCATGGAAAGGAAGAGGCGAAACGAACGGAAGGAGGCAATGAACGGAAAGGAAACATTAAGTTGAAACGAAAGGAAGGACACAATGAACGGAAAGGAAAAATTGAAAGGGCGGAAACATGCGGAAACAGCTAAAATCAGTTTGGTTCCGCCGGTTCGCGGCTGTTGTTTGTCGACCCCCTACAGGGAAGAAAGGAAAGAAATAGTTTTTCGAATTTTATCGCTTTTACCGTGGGTGTTGGTAAATTTTTGATTCGTACCATTTTTTCGTGGATGCTGGTTAATTTCTCGGTGTTTACCACTGTTTACCGCCTGTGTATAGCAAACCCTTGGCACTGCTTCACCAGATTTCCAGCACTTTTGGTTCGATCCGTATCATGTTTTTCAGCCGAAGGGGAGACATGAATTTTATCATAGTTAGGTTGAATGCTTTTGTTATAATCACCCAAGTAGGAAATCTCTTGGACCACGGCCAGCAATGAACGACTTGAAACGAAGGGAAGCAGTAAGGAACGGGATGTCAGAGTTGAAACGAAAGGAATGAAGTAACGAATGAAAGGAGAGAGTTGTAACGAAAGGAAGACAGTAACGAATCAAAGGAAAGAGTTGAAACTAAAGGAACGGCCGAACGGAAGGGAAGAGTTGAAACGAAAGGAAGGAAGTATTTAAGGAATGAAAAGAAAGAGCTGCAACGAATCGACGAAAGAATTAAAGCAACGAACAGATTGTAGGAGGCGTAAGAGGTGAAACGAAGGGGAAGAAGTAACGAAGGGGGTTTATAAACGAGGTGAAACGTAAGGACGGACGTAACGAAATGAACGACTTGACAGCAAACGGAAGGAAGGAGTTGAAACGAAAGGAAAGAAATAACTAACGCGGGGGAGTGTTGAAACTTAAAGAAGGAAGCAACAAACGAAATAGGCTAGTTACAATAAAACATGTAACCGAAAGGATTGTATAGGAATTGAGACGAGTGGAAGGACGTAACCACATGAACGGCTTGAAACGAAAGGAAGAAGTACATGAACGGGATGGGAGTGTTGAAACGAAAGAAAGGAAGTATCAAATGGACGGGAAGAGTTGAAACGAAAGGAACGCTGTAGCAAATGGAAGGGAAGCGTTAAACGATGTTAAACGAAAGGACAGAAGCAACGCACCAGGGATAAGAGTTTCTAACATTATTTGATGCTACGCCTTTATACGCTCTGAGACCTTCTGCATGTTTTACATAGAATGCATTGATGCTACTACCCAACAGCTTCTCCTTAGGCTTCTAACTGGTTGCTGCTACGCTCTAAGATCTACCCAACTTGCAAACACTCTACCATCATTGATGCTACGCTCCAAGATCTGCGCATCATTCTTCCAAGCTTCTGCCATCATTGATGCTACGCCCGAGGATCTTCTCTTCAATCTCCAAACTGCAACTGATCTTCAATTTTCTACTATCATTGATGCTACGCTCAAAGATCTTCTCTTCAAGTTTCCAACATCAGCCATTCTAACATTGTTGATGCTACGCTTTCAGATACTCTCTTCACTTTTCAGACATCAGCGATGCTGCGCTCTAAGATTTCTTTTGTTTTTTCTCACATTCTACCCGCATTGATGTATGTTTTTCGATGTTATTTCCATGTTTCTCCCATTGTACCATCATTGATGCTACGCTCTAAGAACTTCTCTTCAATTTTCAAACATGTTTGATGAAACGCTCTAAGATATTCTCTTGAATTGTCCAACATACTTGAAGCTACACTCCAAGATCTTTACTTCAAATTTGAAACATCAGTGATGCTACGCGCCAAGATCTTCTCTTCATAATTTCCAACATCATTGGCGCGACTCTCTAAGATCTTCTTTTCCACGTTCTGACATCATCAATGCTGCGCTCTAAGATCTTCTTTCCAAGTGTTGAACATCACTGACCCTTAGCTCGACAATCTTCTTTTCAAGTTTCTACAGTAACATCATTGATGCTACGTTCTTGGATCTTATCTTCACCTTTCTATTATCATTGACGCTACGTGCCAAGGTTTTCTCTTGTATTTTCTAACCTGCCACGCTCTAAGATCTTATCAACTTTCAATCATTTCATCATCATTGATGCTATACTCCAAACATTCTACCATGAGTGATTCTACGGTCTAAGATCTTCTCTTGAATTTTCTCACATTCTACCCTGGTTCATGCTAGCTGCTACCCTTCAAGTTTCTAGCAAAGTTGTTGCTACGCTCTTAGATCTTCTCTTTGTTTTTCTTACATAGTACTGCGTTGATGCTGTAACATTGTTTCTTTCATCTTTTTAGCATCGTGGACCGTCTAAGGTGTTCTCTTCATCAACTTTCAAACATTATACCATCACTGACACTACGCTCTAAGATCTTTTCTTCAGCTTTCGAACATACTTGACGCTGCGCTCTGAGATCTTCTCTTCAATTTTCTTCTATCATTGATGCTACGCTCTGGGATATCTTTTCCATTTCCAACATTCTACCGTCATTTTGCTACGCTCAAAGATCTTCCCTTCGACTTTCCAACATTGCACCATCATTGGGGCTATTCTCCAAAATCTTCTTTTTTAAATTTTCTCCCCTTCTACCACCGTTGATGCTACGCCCCAAGATCGTCCCCACGCTATGGAAGACATGGGTGGCATTTGGTTAGCCACATGGTTTCGTGAGGCACGATAAAATCCGACCATCCAACCTCCAAACTTGAAAAAAAACGCCTTTCCAGCAAAACCGCTTTTTTCAAGATGCCAACTCTGCCATGTATTTCTACCAGCACGCAGCCACTCGCAGCCACTCGAGTGGCCGCAAGTGGCTGCAAGTGGCCGCTCCAAGCGAGTGGCCGCAAGTGGCCGCAAGTGGCCGCTCCAAGCGAGTGGCCGCTCCAAGCGAGTGGCCGCAAGCGGCCGCAAGTGGCCGCTCCCAGCAAGTGGCCGCAAGTGGCCGCAAGTGGCCGCTCCCAGCGAGTGGCCGCAAGTGGCCGCTTTCGGCCATTTCGATTTCCACACTCAAAGCAACCTCCCTGTATAAATGGGATAAATCATCACAAACTTCTTTTAGATTCTAGGATTCTATAGGAGTTCATCCCCAGCGTGCTTTATTTTTCTAGGACCCCCTGGTATCCCCTGGTGGCACAAGAATCGAATGTTTCCATGACCAGGGCTACAATCACTGTCGCCTTGAAGGCGGTGAACCCAAAGGTTCACACGGACCACGTTGATGCTTGGTGAAACTGCATGGATGACTGTATATGCATGTAATATGATTAATTATAATATATGATCAATATTCATGTATATGCTTCATATACACGGTGTGGGCTTTCATTGATTTCATTGGGTTCCCCATTTTACCCTGGCTACTGTAAGACGTGCTTACGGACTAAGCACGACAAAGATTTGTGGGTTTGGGCCTCTAAATCTGGACCCATAGCCGCGAAAAATAATCACGAAGCGCGCTTTCGGTGCTGGTATGTCACATCATGTCACATCATATTTTCCGCACTTGCACCTGACATTGTTGCACTCTGCCAGTTTCTCTAGGTTGCTCATTTTCTTGTTGTGATCGCGTTGTGGTCCTCATCCGAGCATCCTTGGTGCTGTTGGGTCCAAGCCGTTGACCCCAAAACGGCCATCTCCGTTGTTCAACGTAGGGCGGGGCGGTGGGGCGCCGCAAGCTGCGGCCAGCCTGGCAGCGCCATGCTGACGGCCAGGGAAGTGAAATTGGTGGCAGAGACCATCGCCATTGGAGGATGTTACATTTTGATCAGCGCCAGTTTGATCGCCTTCAACAAATATCTGATGAATGCTGAGCGCTTTCCATATGCCAAGGCAATGACTGCCATGCACATGATGATGACCAGCTGCATGTCGCTCTTGCTGTATCTCTGTGTGCCTTCTTTGTACCCAACGATGGGAAAGGCGAGAGAAAATTACAGGACACAGCGGGGAGCTGGAGTTTTGGATCAGAGTTTTTCTATGTTTTTTTCATGGAAACTTTAAAAAAACATCCTCAAAACTTGTTGAATTTATGTGCAACATATTCCATACCCACGGAGCTGAGTCGTGAACCAGGACCCTGCTGAAGTACATTTTGCCTTTGGGTTTTCTGTTTGCCCTGGCGCTGTACTGCTCCAACCGGGCCTATTTGTACTCCACCGTGGCATTCCTGCAGTTCTGTAAGGAGGGCAATGTGGCCTTGATTTTTGCCATGTCGTGCTTGCTGGGCCTACAGGTTGGAAGCTTCAGAGGGCCTTCCAAGTGAGTAGGAACCTGATTGATCGAGAAAGAACCCTCAAACATGCCTGAAAAACAAGCTTGTAGACCTGCAAAATCACTTAGCGGTGAGCAAAAACTACTCGACAGATGAGCGAAACAAGTGTAAGAGGAGTAGAACACCACCCTCAAGCAATTAGCAAAGAGAACGTGCTTGGATGAGCAAAACAAAACGCACTTCGTGTAGTAAAATGATGTAAAATGCCTCATGGATAAGTTGGACACCCAGATTTCAACCAGCGAATCAGCGAATTTCAGGTCTTCAGCTGGCACAAGGTTGGTATCCTCACCATAGTGGTGACGGGATGCTCCCTTTGTGCCCATGGCCACTTGGCATTGTAGCAAATCATTGCTGCATCAAAATGGAGGGGCAGATTAGAGGTATGATACCAGATGCTGATCAAGTTGGACCCATGCTATAGTCTGCTATAGATGGTTTCTTCCAAGGTATTTTTCACATGGGGTATCATGGGGTTTGTTTTGCTGCACACATATCCAACCTCGTGTGCCAATACTTGCATCTCACACTGGGGACGCTGCCCCATATCCTCAGCACATCTCAGCACCAGGTGAAGTGAACTTCGTGTGGGCCGGTTTTCTCTTGCAGATCACTTCGCAGGTGGCAGAGTGCTCCAAGAACCTCATTGGAGAGATGCTGATGTCGGGCGCAGGAGACAGAAAATTCCCTCCTGAGTGTTGGTACTCCGAAAGTCAGGGGATATCCCAGCCAGGTGTTAATGCACTCACCGAGGGCCATCCAAAGCCAAAAGATGCCAGCCAACGAAGAAAAGAAATCAACATGGAAACGAAAAACCAGCATATATTCAACAGTAGAGCCCCTTTTCCTTCGGACCACTCGCTGAAAGTCACTTTTCCAGCTCCATTTTTGAGTTTTTACATGTTTTTTCTACCTGTTCTCCCCAGTTGTCTCTTACTAAAACTGACCCACTCAACATTATGCGAAGGAAAATTTAAGACACCATATGATGCCTATTGATGCCTTATGTTCCTATTTGGGATGATTTACAATAGCCCCCAGTTGGTTGGTCAATGTGATGGTTTATGGCATTGGGTTTGCCACATTATACTGACCTGACTCACTGAACATGATTCACTCTTTACATTGGAGGAATGAAGTTGGACGTGCTGACCTTCGTGCTATTTCAGGCGCCGTGTTCGCTGTTGCCCTTGCTGGTCAGCGTCGCCTTGTCCTGGGAGTTTGAGATCTGGTTGGCTTTCAAGGCGCGCGCCTTATGCCATGTTGAAATGATCGGGAAGAAGCTTTTGAAGAATGTTGAATCAAACAGTGACAGTGAGAATAACTCACCATGGACATGATTCACAATATGACTCAAAACCAAGTTGAATCATGTTGAATCTCTCTAAAGAGTGAAACTTGGAACAATCTTTCCCTTCAGGGGCCATTTTCTCATTCTTTCTCAACATTTCGCAGATCCCAAAGGCCCATTGGCCCTTGATTTTGCTGAACGCCTTGAACGCCTTCGCGTTGAACGTGGTCATCGCCACCACGCTGAAGCGGTTGAGCGCCGTGGCCTTTGTGATCATCGGCATCGTGAAGGACAGCGTCATCGTGGCCACCAGTGGGTTGGTCTTTGGGGATCACATCTCGGCACAACAGCAGGCGGTGGGGATCAGGGAACTATCAGGGAACTATCAGGGAACTATCAGGGAACTATCAGGGAACTATCAGGGAACTATCAGGGACTATAGGGCGAACTGTATATGATATGAATAGCCTAATTTGTAATATAATTTCAGGTGAAATGGTTCGATCTCATGAACACTGATATCAATATCGGTTTTCAATACAACCTACATGGCAGGCAGCTGGTCCATCCTTTCGCCTTCAGCGAATCCGCACGGGCTCAGGTGGGCTTTGCAGTGATCATGACCGGCATTGCTTGCTGGAGTCACATGAAGATCAAGGAACAGCAGGACTTGGGCTTGGTTTAGATCAAGTTGTCGTAGGTTATTCAATGATATTTAATGTATGTTTCTACTAGCTATCGTATCAAGATTTGAGCCAGCTGAGTTCAGAGCAATCATTGTTCAGTGACTAATGTTCATTTCAAATCGGGCCTCGTTACCCATTTTAGTTCGCGAACCTGCAGTTCTTGGGGCTGCTCTCCCCATATTTGAGTAAACTGGGTTAGCAGTAGTTTGGCAAGTTCACGGGTATCCGCTGGCTCCTCAAATTAATGTCTTGAGTATTGAGGATTGAACGCTCAAACCCTCGCTACTGGCAGAAGACAATGCTTAAGATGGCTCTGCCATCTCCAAGTGCTATTTCCTTTGGTTTTTTCATGTTTTTTCCATGGAGATTTCATTTGCACATCTTCCCCATCCAGGAGAGCGACAAACTGAAAGAATCGCAACCCTTGACTGGTCCGCCCGTGGCATCCGTGGCATCCGTGGCATCTGTGGCATCCGTGGCATCCGCGGCGCGGGTCTGATGGTGTCATCTCCGCGGCCAAAATGGCCGAGAGCGGCGGCGCTGGATCTTTGAGGGATTCAACATGGGATATCATGGCATGACATGGATCATAATTGTATGAAATCCGCCATGTTATGTGGATATAGTGTGATATAGATTCACCAACTTAAATTAATAAAGGAAGATCTCAATACAGGGCTTGGGAATGATTGGGATATATGATATGGGGGTACGATGGGATAGAAAGCCAACTTATACAATGTGAAGATGGAGGATGCCAATAATAATGGCAGTTTGAATAGTGAAAGGGATTTAGGGGTACCATGTGGTACCCGATTTTCAGATCAACCCACATACCTTGGGCTGGCTATAGAGTGAAATTCCAGGAAATCTCAAGATATTTTCTGCCAACACAGTATAGCGGGACGAGATGAACGTCAGCTTGCCCATGAGCCGCGATGCTTTTGGAGGGAAAATTCCAACCATGTTGAGATGTTTGGACATGTATATCTGTTACTCCATATATTCGACAAAACCATCTCAGTGTCAAGCGTCTTTGTGATGAGTTGCGGCCAAGGAAAAAGTCTTAATTTTTATGATTGAAGGGCTGCTTGGATGCATTCCCGCCCCGCTGTAGGTTTGGAATATTGATCACTATTGTGTATATTGTGTGCCCTAGGTTGGGTCGGTCGCGTCCATTGACGTCCTTGAGACTCCAGATGACCATGACGGAACAGCGCTAATATTAACTAGCACTGAAGGCTACGCAAGTCCCCTCCAAATTCAACCCTCGGTTCTTGAAAATGACTGAGAAAGAATGCGAGCGGCATTTGCCTCCCAAACATTGGCATGTGGATTGACAAACTGAGCATTTGATGAACTGATAAGTGCAGCAACGCTGATCAAATTTATGGAAGACATCATGTTACGCTGGTTGATGCTGGTTCAGGATTCCCATCATTTTCGCCACCATCACCATTGCAATGAGCACTTCGTTAACCTACTGGTACAAGGCCGTTCCGTTTCTGGCTGGGCAGTTGTGCATAGTGTGGCTTTCTTGTTATTGACCCATACACATCCCAGTTTTCATTCTTCTCTAGATGAGTGGCGAGTATGCGGGCCCAAGCAAGAACCTATTCTGACCCAGCGAGTGTTTAAACTCTTTTTTGGTTGGGTTCGCGCTCGGGGGGTATCTATTTCACACCCAAAAATCGCGCGCGAACCCAACAAAAAAAGTTTATAGTGACGGACAATCACTTAGAACGTCATCTTTCCAAAATTTCGGACTCTCACACTTAGAACATCAGGGACCCCCACACTTAGAACATGGTGGACACTAATGACCCAAATCAATTAGAACATCAGGAAATGGATGTTCTAAGCGTGAGGCTCCTTGCAACTAACCCTGGCTCCCAACACATAACATCACAAACAAAGAGTTCGGTCACGTTTATTTTTCTGTCTGCGCCCCATCAAAATGTTAGCCAATCAAAATATAGTTATGTCAATAGATCATTATCGAAATATATATATATAGATACATATTTATATATACACATGTTGTAATGCCTTGGGGTGTTCTAAGGGCGGGGGTCTCCACAGCTGATTGACAACTGGGTTCATATAAATAGAGTTATGTCAATAGATCATGAAAGATGTCTATATGTGTGTGTGTTTGTTGTAATGTCTCGGGATGTTCTAAGTGTGGTAGTCTCCACAGCTGATTGATAACTTTGCGTTCATATAAATATAGTTATGTCAATAGATCAAATTGAATATATATATATATATATGTTGTAATGTCTTGGGATGTTCTAAGTGAGGGGGTCTCCACAGCTGATTGATAACTTTGTGTTCAAATAAATATAGTTATGCCAATAGATCATGAAAGAGAGAGTGATATATATATATATATGTGTGTGTTGTATCTAATGTCTTGGGATGTTCTAAGTGCGGGGGCCTCCTCAGCTGATTGATAACGTTGTGTTCAAATATATATATATAGTTATGTCAATGATAACGTTGTGTTCAATATATATATAGTTATGTCAAAGATCATTAAAGATATAGTATATATGTGTGTTTTGTAGTGTCTTGGGATGTTCTAAGTGTGGGGGTCTCCAAAGCTGATTGATAACTTTGTGTTTATATAAATATAGTTATGTCAATAGATCATGATAGAGATAAATATGTTGTATCTAATTTCTTGGGATGTTCTAAGTGTGGGGTCTCCACAGCTGATTGATAACGTTGTGTTCAAATAATAATAGTTACGTCAATAGATAATTATATATATATGGTGTAATGTCTTGGGATGTTCTAAGTGTGGAGGTCTCCACAGCTGATTGATAACTTTGGGCTCATATAAATACAGTTATGTCAATAGATCATTTTCAATATGTATATATATATATATGTATGTTGTAATGTCTTGGGCTGTTCTAAGTGGGGAGGTCCCCACAGTTGATTGACAACTTTGTGCTCGTATAAATGTAGTTATGCCAAAAGATCATTATAGAAATATAAGCTTCTCCGCTTACATAGAATATGATTTTTTAGATTGCACAGGCAAATTTTCCGAAAATGTACTTAGAATATTTTCCCATTTCATGTTGATCTTTCTCTCCCCACGTGGCCTTTGCTCTCGAAGCCTTTGTACATCTCTATGCAACGGCGAAAAATGTACTTTTTTAGTACACAAAGTAATAAGAGATCGGTCAATTTGGGGACCCTGCCGGTTTTTATTTTATTTTTTATCACCAAACACCTTGTGAAAATTTTACCTATCTATTTGTCTGGAAACATGAAAGAATTTATATGGAAGAAATCTGGAAAGTGAAGAATTTGTATGGAAATGTGACTGCTTTTTATAGAAAAATGAAAAGTACATATGGAAAAATGCTGAATTTGACTGAAAAAGTGAAAGAATTTATGTGGCAAAAAATATGGAAAAGTGAAGAATTTGTATGGAAACGTGAAGGAGGGATAAAGAAAAGTGAAGAATTTCTATGGAAAAATGACGAATTCGTCTGGACAAGCGAAAGAATTTATATGGTCCAACGGTATTCTAAGTATAGGTTTTTTGGCGTCAATTGTATTCTAAGATATTCTAAGTATCGTTTTTCAAGTTCAATTCCCGGGATGCCCGGGGAAGCCAAAATTTCAATTCCATATTCTGTGTGGGTGGAGTACCTTATGTATATACATGTTGTAATGTCTTGAGATGTTCTAAGTGTGGGGGTCTCCACAGCTGATTGATAACTGTGTAATCGTAAAAATAAAGTTGTGTCAATAGATCATTATCAAAGGAAGTTTAGGGGGAGAAACTTCCGTGTTACGGACTTTTAGAATGTCAGGGAAAGAGTTCGTCAAAGAAAGAGTTAGTGAGGGAAAGAGTTAGTTAGGGAAAGAGTTAGTTAGGGACAGAGTTAATTGTAACTTTTAGAATGTCAGGGAAAGAGTTAGTCGAAGAAAGAGTTAGTGAGGGAAAGAGTTAGTTAGGGAAAGAGTTAATCAGGGAAAGAGTTAGTCAAAGAAAGAGTTAGTGAGGGAAAGAGTTAATTGTAAATGATATCTTCAAGTTGGATTTTTGAAGGAAGTCTCGCACGAAATGCGTTTTTGAGAGATAGCAGATGCACGAAACCCTATGTTTTTCCATACAAAGTCCGTCCCCGAACCTCGATGATCTACCTCTGCCGTGCGACGGGTGCGAGACGGTCTCGTGTGTGGTCGGATCATGTTCGGATAAATGGCCGCAATGTAAATGGGATTGCAAGTGGTGCTGGTGGATGAGTTGCCGATGGAATTCCATTGTGATTTGCAACTGTAGGATCGTTCCCGCAATGCAAATGACATTGCAAGTGGTGCTGGTGGAAGAGTTGCCGATGGAGTTTTGAAGGAAGTCTCGCACGAAATGCGTTTTTGAGAGATGGCAGATGCACGAAACCCTATGTTTTTCCATACAAAGTCCGTCCCCGAACCTCGATGATCTACCTCTGCGGTGCGACGGGTGCGAGACGGTCTCGTGTGTGGTCGGATCCGTTCCGCATTGTAAATGGGGTTTCACCTGTGTTTCGTGCATGTGCGGTCGACAGAATTCCATTGTGATTTGCAACTGTAGGATCGTTCCCGCAATGCAAATGGGATTGCAAGTGGTGCTGGTGGATGAGTTGCCGATGGAATTCCATTGTGATTTGCAACTCTAGGATCGTTCCCTCACTGTAAATGGGATTGCAAGTGGTGCTGGTGGAGGAGTTGCCGATGGAGTTTTGAGGAAGTCTCGCACGAAATGCGTTTTTGAGAGATAGCAGATGCACGAAACCCTATGTTTTTCGATACAAAGTCCGTCCCCGAACCTCGATGATCTACCTCTGCGGTGCGACGGTTGCGAGACGGTCTCGTGTGTGGTCGGATCATTCTCGGACCATGGTCGGATCATTCTCGGACCATGGTCGGATCGGTTCCGCATTGTAAATGGGGTTTCAAGTGTTTTTCGTGCATGCGCGGTCGACAGAATTCCATTGTGGTTTGCAACTGTAGGATCGTTCCCGCAATGTAAATGGGATTGCAAGTGGTGCTGGTGGATGAGTTGCCGATGGAATTCCATTGTGCTTTGCAACTGTAGGATCGTTCCCGCAGTGTAAATGGCTGCGTCAAGGTTGCTTCGTGCTGTGGCTGCATTGGTAATACTATTGTCTTTTGCAGCTGGACTTCGTAAATCGTATTGGAGTGGCTGCATGAAGGCTGCGACAGTGATTTGTCAGCAGATTTTCTCCATTTTGGCGCTAGTGATTTTCCTTCTAAAAATCATAAGTGCTTCAAAATCGTCTTTTTTTCGCTCTGGCGTCGAGATCCGGTTTTGGAGCTACAATTTCCGACGCCGTTGCGCGTAGTTCTATTGTGTTTTGCAACTCAGTCTCCGCAGATCGCATTGTAATGGCTGCGTCAAGGTTGCTTCATGCTGTGGCTGCATGCGTAATACTATTGTCTTTTGCAGCTGGACTTTGTAAATCGTATTGGAGTGGCTGCATGAAGGCTGCGACAGTGATTTGTCAGCAGATTTTCTCCATTTTGGCGCTAGTGATTTTCCTTCTAAAAATCCTTTTAAAAAGTGCTTCAAAATCGTCTTTTTTTCGCTCTGGCGTCGAGATCCGGTTTTGGAGCTACAATTTCCGACGCCGTTGCGCGTAGGTCTATTGTGTTTTGCAACTCTGTCTCTGCAGATCGCATTGTAATGGCTGTGTCAAGGTTGCTTCGTGCTGTGGCTGCATTGGTAATACTATTGTCTTTTGCAGCTGGATCTCGTAAATCGTATTGGAGTGGCTGCATGAAGGCTGCGACAGTGATTTGTTAGCAGATTTTCTCCATTTTGTCGCCAGTGATTTTCTGCTAAAAATCCTTTTAGAGAGTGCTACAAAATCGTCTTTTTTTCGCTCTGGCGTCGAGATCCGGTTTTGGAGCTACAATTTCCGACGCCGTTGTGCGTAGTTCTATTGTGCTTTGCAACTCAGTCTCTGCAGATCGCCTTGTAATGGCTGTGTCAAGGTTGCTTCGTGCTGTGGCTGCATTGGTAATACTATTGTCTTTTCCAGCTGGATCTCGTAAATCGTATTGGAGTGGCTGCATGAAGGCTGCCACAGTGATTTGTCAGCAGATTTTCTCCATTTTGGCGCTAGTGAATTTCCTTCTAAAAATCCTTTTAGAAAGTGCTTCAAAATCGTCTTTTTTTCGCTCTGGCGTCGAGATCCGGTTTTGGAGCTACAATTTCC